TGTTCCCTGCCCCCCTGCTTCCTTCTCCCTTCCCCTGTCCCTGCCCCTGTCCCTGCCCCTGCCCCTGCCCCCCTGCTTCCTTCTCCCTTCCCCTGTCCCTGCCCCTGCCCCTACCCCTGCCCCTGCCCCTACCCCTGCCCCTGCCCCTGCCCCTGCCCCTGCCCCTGCCCCCCTGCTTCCTTCTCCCTTCCCCTGTCCCTGCCCCTGCCCCTACCCCTGCCCCTACCCCCCTGCTTCCTTCTCCCTTCCCCTGTCCCTGCCCCTGCCCCTACCCCTGCCCCTGCCCCTACCCCTGCCCCTGCCCCTGCCCCTGCCCCTGCCCCTGCCCCTGCCCCTGCCCCCTGCCCCCAGCCTCTTGTTACCTGCCCCCCCTGCTTCCTTCTCCCTTCCCCTGTCCCTGCCCCTGCCCCTGCCCCTGCCCCTGCCCCCTGCCCCCTGCCCCCAGCCTCTTGTTCCCTGCCCCCCTGCTTCCTTCTCCCTTCCCCTGTCCCTGCCCCTGTCCCTGCCCCTGCCCCTGCCCCCCTGCTTCCTTCTCCCTTCCCCTGTCCCTGCCCCTGCCCCTACCCCTGCCCCTGCCCCTACCCCTGCCCCTGCCCCTGCCCCTGCCCCTGCCCCTGCCCCCTGCCCCCAGCCTCTTGTTACCTGCCCCCCTGCTTCCTTCTCCCTTCCCCTGTCCCTGCCCCTGCCCCTGCCCCTGCCCCTGCCCCCTGCCCCCTGCCCCCAGCCTCTTGTTACCTGCCCCCCCTGCTTCCTTCTCCCTTCCCCTGCCCCTGCCCCTGCCCCTGCCCCTGCCCCTACCCCTACCCCTGCCCCTGCCCCTACCCCTGCCCCTGCCCCTGCCCCTACCCCTACCCCTGCCCCAGCCCCTTCCCCCTGCCCCCAGCCTCTTGTTACCTGCTCCCCTGCTTCCTTCTCCCTTCCCCTGCCCCTGCCCCTACCCCTGCCCCTGCCCCTACCCCTACCCCTACCCCTACCCCTGCCCCTGCCCCTGCCCCTGCCCCTGCCCCTGTCTCTGCCCCTGCCCCCTGCCCCCAGCCTCTTGTTCCCTGCTCCCCTGCTTCCTTCTCCCTTCCCTGTCCCTGCCCCTGCCCCTGCCCCTGCCCCTGTCCACAGTCTTCTCGTCGGATAAGCCCTTCCTTTTTCCCTACAGATGATCCTCCCCTCGTCCTCTCCCCGCCCTCCAGGATCAGTCCGTCCTCTCCTTATCTCCCTCCTGTTCCCCATTTTTCCTCCTGCGCCTTCTCCTCTTGCTAGATCCTCTTCTTTCCCCTCTCCCCTTCCTCCTTCTTCCTACTCGCTTCTCCTCTTCTAGATCAGCACACCCCCTTTTCCCTAATCGTTCTTCTTCTCCTCCTTTCTTCCTAGCTCCCTTCCGCTCTTTACTTCTTCCTTCTTCCTCCTCATCCTCTCTTCCTCTCAGATTCCTTTATTTTCTCACACTCCTTCCTCCTTCCTTCTCCCTCCTCCCCCCTCCTTTTCCAGTCTCCTTCCTCCTCTCTTCCTCCTACATCCTTCTTTTTCCCATTCTCTTTCTCTCTCTCTCTCCTCCCTCTTCCGAAATCAACGTCCCTCATTTCGCCATTCTTCTTTCTCGATTTTCCTCATACTATTCCTCTCTTTCCCCTCTCCTTTTCCTCCTTCTTTCCTTCTATATCTTGGCTTCCTCTTTTATCTCCACCTCTCCCCCCTCCCCTCCATCTTCCATCCTCCCCGGCTCCCTCTCTCTCCCCTTTCCCCTCCTTCCCCCACTCCTCTCCTTCCTTTCTTCCTTCCTTCTTCCTCCCTCCTCCCCTTCGTCCTCTCTTTTTACTCCTCTCCTTCCCATTCATCCCTTCCTCTCTCACTCCCAATCCCGTCCATCATATCCCCCCCCCCTCTACTCCCTCTCTCTCTCTCTCATTTCTTCTTCCTCCTCCCTCCGTCTCCTTCCTGCCCCTTCTTCCCTCCCTCCCCCCCCCCCCTACTCCCTCTCTTCCCTCCCCCACTCCCTCCCTCCCATACTCCCCCCACCCCCACCCCCCCTACTCCCTCTCTTCTCTCCCCCACTCCCTCCCTCCCATACTCCCCCCACCCCCACCCTCCCCTACTCCCTCTCTTCCCTCCCCTCCCTCCCCCACTCCCCCCTCAACTTCCCCCTCCCCCTCCCCTTCCCACTCCTCCCCCGTCGTCCATCTCTCCCGAAGTTCGCCCTCGTCTCCCCGGGCGACGCGCCTGTCCCGAGGCCCGGCACCCGCCGCCGACACTGGCCCGAGGGACGGCACCGCAACTTGAAGTCTTTCTTAAAACGCAGGAGTTCTCTCTGACGTCGCGGAATAACAAGTAGTCTCATTACCTCGACAGCCATGGTTTTCCTTCTTCGTGCATGAGACTCCTGCTGTTCCCGGGAGAGAGGGAGGGAGGGAGGGAGGGGGAGGGAGAAAGGAAGGGATAGGGAAGGATGGAGAAGGCGGAGGAGGGAGAGGGAAGGGGAGGGAAGGATCGGAAGGGAGAGAGGGTGGGAGGGAGGGAGGGAGGGAGGGAGGGAGGGAGGGAGGGAGGGAGGGAGGAAGGGAGAGATAGGGATGGATGGATAGGGAGGGAGGAGAAGGAGGGAGGGAGGAAGGGAGAGATAGGGATGGATGGATAGGGAGGGAGGAGAAGAAGGGAGGGAGGAAGGGAGAGATAGGGATGGATGGATAGGGAGGGAGGAATGGAGTTTTAAAACAAATGTAGAAATGTATATGAGCGAAAGAGAGGTCAAGGCAATAAATTTTGACATAAATTACAAAAAAATCCGAAAATTTGTGTGGTCATTTCGTAATAAATAAACTAAACTTGTTTGATATCGGGTAAAATACATGTAGTAATAACATAAAAGACATACATAAAATATAGGGAGGAAGAGAGAGGGAGGGGGAGGGAAGGAGGGATGGATGGAGAGGAAGGGAGGGAGAAGGAGTGGGGGGAAGGAGGGAGGGAGGAAGAGGAAGGGAGGGAAAGGGAGGGGAAGGGAGGGAGTGAGGGAGGAAGAAGAGAGAGAGAGAGAGAGAGAGAGAGAGAGAGAGAGAGAGAGAGAGAGAGAGAGAGAGAGAGAGAGAGAGAGAGAGAGAGAGAGAGAGAGAGAGAGAGTTAGATAGACAGAAAAAGAGAGAGAGAGAAAGAGGAGAGAGAGAGTTAGAGAGAGAGAGAGAGAGAGAGAGAGAGAGAGAGAGAGAGAGAGAGAGAGAGAGAGAGAGAGAGAGAGAGAGAGAGAGAGAGAGAGAGAGAGAGAGAGAGAGAGGGTTGGATAGACAGACAGACAGAGAAAGGGAGAGAACTGGTAAGCCTTTCTCTTCTTTTCTTTTTCTCCCCTCCGTCTGACAGCGAGTCTCTCCTCTTGTCACTTGGCGTGCTGCCTTTTTTTATTGAGTTTCTCCTATGCCTTTCATTTTCTATTGACTCTCGTTTTGTCTGTCATTCTTGCAGTTTTTCCCTGTCAGGGAAACCTCCCTCTCATTTCGCGTGTTTTCTCTTCATTATCTTTATCCTTTACTTTCCCTTTGTTTTGTCTCTTCTGCTGCCATTGTATTCTTATCTTCATCCTTTGCATTTCTCTATCGATGATTAATGTGTCACCTAGTGTGATATTTTTTTTTATTAACGACTTGACATTACGTTACTGTTTCTTTTTTTTTTTCTTTTTTTT